ATTGTTTATGCAGCTGCCTAGAGAATTAAGTAATAAAGTGTGCTTTGCAAACCAGCCTAAGGCACTGGGATAATAGAAACATTTGCTCCGTTAGTTGATAACATTGCAGGATGTGGAAAATTTCAGAGTTAAAATATGATAGGAAGAAAAAGTCAAATCTGGCTTTGGGAGGGGATGATCAGAAGATGCTGGCTAATAACTTAGAACAGTGCTTCTCAATCTTGCCAGCTTTTAAGATGCGTGGACTTTAACTCCCAGAATTCCCTATCCGGCAGAAAGCCAAAAAGAAGGGGGAAAAAACTGAACCCGCATTTAATCCATCCTGCCTGTAGTTGTGACAGCCTTAATTCAGATTGCAGGAGACACCATTTTATTTATTTAATCAAGTATATATATGCGGTTGAATTTTTAAAATCAGCCCGGGCAGCTTAGAAAACCACACTATTGGCAAAATAAAAAAAAAAAACCACAATAAATAAAATACAACATCCATTAATAACTGATTTCAGCTGGCGATGGGCCAGAGCAACAGACTTGGCTGAAGTTTTCCTTCAGTTCCAGGCAGGCAGGTGGGCTGGACTACAGCTCCCATCATCCCCTGTCACACGGGCAGGGCTTGACAAGGACTGGATAGTATGGTATAAATCAGGGGTCTTCAAACTTGGCCCTTTGATGACTTGTGGACTTCAACTCCCAGAATTCCTCAGCCAGGCATGCTGGCTGAGGAATTCTGGGAGTTGAAGTCCACAAGTCATCAAAGGGCCAAGTTTGAAGAGCCCTGTCTTAAATCTAACAAATGGAGGCTGGCTGAGGAATTCTGGGAGTTGAAGTCCACAAGTCATCAAAGGGCCACGTTTGAAGACCCCTGTCTTAAATCTAACAAACAAAATGGAGGCTGGCTGAGGAATTCTGGGAGTTGAAGTCTACAAATCATAAAAGAGCAAAGTTTGAAGACCCCTGTCTTAAATCTAACAAACAAAATGGACGTTGGCTGAGGAATTNAGGTTGCCTACCCCTGGCCTAAGTCCTCCTGTTCCAAGCGGTGAGCCTCCTAGGCCAGGGGTAGGCAACCTTGGCTCTTTTATGACTCGTGGACTTCAACTCCCAGAATTCCTGAGCCAGCCTGGCTCAGCTTGGAAACCTCTCCCTTTCCCCTCAGCATGGCTGGCTCAGGAATTCTGGGAGTTGAAGTCCACCAGTCGTAAAAGAGCCAAGGTTGCCTAACCCTGTCCTAAGTCCTCCTGTTCCAAGCGGTGAGCCTCCTAGGCCAGGGGTAGGCAACCTTGGCTCTTTTATGACTCGTGGACTTCAACTCCCAGAATTCCTGAGCCAGCATGGCTAAGCATGGAAACCTCTCCCTTTCCCCTCAGCGTGGCTGGCTCAGGAATTCTGGGAGTTGAAGTCCACCAGTCATAAAAGAGCCAAGGTGGCCTACCCCTGGTTTAGCATCAGGATTCTCGTGCCATTATTATCATTGTTGTTATTTTTTAAAAATTTACAATCTCCTCTTCTTCCAGGACTAGAACATGTCGTACTTTGCTAGACATCCTGCTCCCGCTCCCGCCCCCTCTTTTTTAATCTTCCCAGTTAGAATGAAAGCCAATAATAATAATAATAATTAACGCTTGAGTGAGGATTTGGGAATCTCCGGGGTTGACAGAAAGGCATTACGTACGGCTCTCGGATCATGTGGGGGGGAAAAAATCCCTCGACGTTATTATGAGACGCAATAATCCGCTTCTTTGTACTTCATTAATAAAAGTTGAAATCTTGTAGATAGGGGTTTTTTTCCGAGAACGACAAAAAGTTGTTGCTTTGCCCCCACAGAAAGGGTGAAAAGGGGGCCTTTGCGGACCCGTTGCGATTTTGCGATTTTCCTCTTTAAGAGCTCCGGTCCTTGACTTACAACGCTCATTTAGCGACCGCTCAACACTGAAGGAAGGGACTTAGGACCCTTTTGCAGACTTAACAACCGTCGCGGCATTCCCCCCCCCCATGGTCACGTGATCAAAATTCAGCCGCTTGGCCACTGGTTCGTATTTACGACGGTGGCCGTGTCCCGGGGGGAGAGTGTCGCGATCCCCTTTTGCGAACTTCTGACTAGCAAAGTCGACGGGGGGGGGAAGCCGGATTCGCTTAACGACCGTGTTGCTAACTTAACAACGGCAGCGCTTTACTTACCCAGATGGAGGAAGGTTGTAAAGTGGGTTTACAGGCGTGATTCGCTTAACAGGTGCGGCAAGGAAGGCCGTAGAACGGGGCAAAGCTCACTTTAACCAATGTTTCACTTAGCAACGTACATTTTGGGCTCAGTTGTGGTTGCAACTCGGAAGGAAGGAAGGAAGGAAGGAAGGAAGGAAGGAAGGAAGGAAGGAAGGAAGGAAGGAGAGAAAAAGGGGGGAAGGAAGGACGGGAGGAAGGGGAAGAGGGAAGGAAGGAAAAGCAAAGAAGAAGGAAGGAAGGGGAAAGGGAGGAAGGAAGGAGAGAAAAAGGGACGGAGGGAAGGAAAAGCAAAGAAGAAGGAAGGAAGGGGGAAAGAGGGAGGGAGGAAGGAGAGAAAAAGGGAGGGAAGGAAGGACGGGAGGAAGGGAAAGAAGGAGAAGGAAGGAAGGGGAAAGGGAGGAAGGAAGGAGAGGAGGGAAGGAAGGACGGGAGGAAGGGGAAGAGGGAAGGAAGGAGAAGGAAGGAAGGGGAAAGAGGGAGGAAAGAAGGAGAGAAAAAGGGACGGAAGGAAGGAGGAAAGGAAAAGCAAAGGAAGGAAGGAAGGAAGGAAGGAAGGAAGGAAGGGGAAAGAGGGAGGAAGGAGGGAGAGAAAAAGGAAGGACGGGAGGAAGGGAAAGAAGGAAGGAAGAAAAGCAAAGAAGGAGGAAGGAAGGAAGGAAAAGGGAAGAGAAGAGAAGGAAAGGAAGGAAGAAAAAAGAAAGAGAAAGAAAGAAAGAAAAAGAGAAAGAAAGAAAGCTAGCTTCCAACAATGCAATGTCTCTCTTCACCTCCTCCTGCCCCCAAAGGCTAGAGACTCTGAGAATACTAGTTTACACAACCTAACTTATCCAGGTTTGTTTCAGAACTACCAGACGCACTTTCTTGGTTTACAGCTATATAAATCCGTACTCCCAGGCTAAGTGCCTCTCTCGGTTGGTTTCGCGAAGCCAAAAAGACAATTAATTTGGCATTGGAGTTTAATTACGTTCCATGAACCCAGCCTGTGTTTG